ACATTTCCCTTTTATTTTATTTTATTTTTTTAAAAGGACTTTATTTTTTTTTTTAAGATTTTATTTATTTATTTGACAGAGGGAGACACAGCGAGAGAGGGAACACAAGCAGGGGGAGTGGGAGAGGGAGAAGCAGGCTTCTCGCAGAGCAGGGAGCCCGATGCGGGGCTCTATCCCAGGACCCTGGGACCATGACCTGAGCCGAAGGCAGACGCTTAATGACTGAGCCACCCAGGCGCCCCCACATTTCCCTTTTAAATATAAGAAACAGTGATGAGAGAAAGTTTTTTAGAGTTGGTATGAGGTATAAATTAGCCAAGGAACCTTTAATTAAGAGATTAAGTCCCAGGGCAAGAAAGAGGGCCATTTAGGCATCTATTTGTCAGACTGGTATTTGAAAAGGACTTGAGGACACCATCATGTCTCAGTTAAACTGACTATCTGAGACCTATTTGGGACATGAAAGTTCTGTTGAATGCCTTCCAAGAGCCCAGTATTGTGCATTCTGAGAAGTGAACTATGTGCCTTGGTTACTATCAGTAATGCCTAGAACTCTGAAAGAAATAAGGTGTGTCCTGGCAAGGCCTTATATTGTGGTTTTAGTATATGTAGAGCCATGTGTAATACTGATTTATATCTTGGGTGTCTGTGAGGCAACAGACTTTTTTACCCTGAAGGGAATACTTTTTAAGCAATGGACCAGTAGTCTGTAATGAATGTAAAGATGGAGCCATTTGTTGGCTGGGACGTCCAATGCTAAGGTGACTGCCTGAAGTTTGCCCAAATGCATTGTCCCTTGGGTCCTATCATTTATGAAGAAAATCCCGGCTAAGGGATGGGAAACAGCAATGTTACACCGAGTTCTATCACATAAGATGGTTAGCAGTGTTATCTGTATAGTCTACAAACTCTCATTACTATTCAGTTGATCCCAAAGGCTCCTGGGTAGTGAGGGCATCAGAGGGAGGGGAGACCTCCTCCAGCACCATGGCATCTGGCAAAAGACTGAGGACAGAGGAGTCCAGCTCTCCTGCAGGAGGCATATGTTAGCCCAGATTTGGCTCCATCCTGTCTTAAGGAGGTCTCAGTAGCTGTGTCAAGCTTGTGAGGCACTGTTTCCATGGCCCAAAGCATAATGAGAAGCTGGGTATGGAGGGTTACAGCCTCAGGGTCTGTGAAAGCCTTTCTTTCTGGGAGAGCCCAATATATAGCCAGCCCCTGGTTGTCTTAATGATGCATAGCATGAGGCCAAGATGAGCAGTTTCTTGCATCAGAAACTCATCATTGGAGAGCTTATGGCCATCTTAAGTGGTCCACAGACTCCAGGAGGCATGAGAAGAAGTTACCAAAGCCTCTCTGGTGAAGAAATTTCTGAGGGCACTAACAAGAGTGACTGTTGATTTTAACTTGGAGACTTTAAGCCATTTGTTGAAGAGAGCCCCATTTAAGGAGGGCTAATTTATCCATGGCAACATCAATTAGATAAAGTAAAATTTACAAATGAGGACTACAGAACCCCAAAAGGACTAAAACATGTTGGACTTGTATGTCTATAATGAGTGTGTCAAATGAATCTCCTTGCAGGAGAATGCCATTAATGTAGTACCATACTCATACTCCTAGAGAAAAGCAGATACAGTTAAGATTTTATTTGCAAAGTTTGTGATGACAAAGCTGTTGCGGTACCCCCTGGGTAGCCTGGAAAAGATTTATAATGTTCCTGTGGAGGCAAAGACAAACTGCAAGTGAGAGGCTATGGAAATAGGCATTAAACAGGATATGTCAGCCAAATCTGTACGAGCCAAATATTTATCAGTTGTTGATTGAATAGAATCAGTAGTTTTAATAATACTGGATATTGGGTATGGGGCCTCTAATGGATGGGACCACAGCATTAAGGTTGTAGTAAATTCACCGTGAGGCATCATTCATTCACTTGATGTACTTATGTTTTATTTATATATTTATTTATGTATTTATTTTCTTCCAGGTTTAAGGCAGGCAAAATTAGGCTGTCAAATGGAGAAGTAGCAGGGATAATCACCCCTCTATAAATTAGTTTATATAATACATTTTAATCCATGGAAGTTCCCGTTTTAATTTATATTGGGTCATATTACTATTTTAACTAGGAGTCTGTGGCATCCCGTAGTATCAGGCCAATTTCCCCACCCCCAACACCACTGGCTTGGTTTTTTTTTTTAAGATTTTATTTATTTATTTGACAGAGAGAGAGAGCGCGCACAAGCAGGGGGAGCGAAAGAGGGAGAGGCAGGCTCCCCGCTGAGCAGGGAGCCTGACGTGGGGCTCAATCCCAGGACCCCAGGATGATGACCTGAGCCGAAGGCAGACGCTTAATGACTGAGCCATCCAGGTGCCCCTCCACTGGCTTGTTTTTAATTTAATTAGCTTCAAACTAAGTTGTTGTGTTTTTTTTAAGATTTTATTTTATTTATTTGACAGAGAGAGACACAGTGAGAGAGGGAACACAAGCAGGGGGAGTGGGAGAGGGAGAAGCAGGCTTCCCGAGGTGCAGGGAGCCTGATGCGGGGCTAGATCCCAGGACTCTGGGATCATGACTTGAGCCGAAGGCAGACGCTTAACGCCTGAGCCACCCAGGCACCCCCCAAACTAAGTTTTTAAAGTGGAATCAACCAGAAGGTGAGAATGTAAGGGAAATGATTTTCCAACACTTCTCATGTACACTAAAATTTTAGGTTTCTTTTTTGGACTACAACAGGCTCTTCACTGTTTACAAGGTGCGTTGGGAAAATGTCAGGTCTCCTGGTTTCTCCTTTACTCTCACACTACTACCACACTCATGAAACTTCTGACACCCAATGTGTGGGAGTTTTCCCCACTCCAAGCAATTCTGTGACACCAGCTGGGGGCCTACAATTTAACTCAATTCTGACACTATCTACCTGGAGATAGCACCAGGTCTCATAAGGGCTCAGTCTCACATGACTGTCCCCCGCCGCCAGGCCCACAGATACTTCAGATAGCAGTCACAAATCTAGATGACTTGTGGTTCTGACCCATCAGCTATAATGTGGAAGTTCCCAAGATGCCCTCTTAAGATTTGATTAATTTGCTAGAGTGGCTTATAGAACTCAGGAAAAAGTTTACTTGCTGTTTACCAGTTTATTATAAAAAGATATGATAAAGGATATAGATGAACATCAAGATAGAAAGATAGGACTAGGTCTGAGATGATCCCGAGTGCAGGAGCTTCTCTGTCCTGTGGAGTTGGGGTGTGTCACCCTCCTAGTATGTGAATGTCATCAACCTGGAAACTCTCCAAACCCTGTCCTTTGTGATTTTTATGGAGGCTTCCTTAATAGGAATGATCAATTAACAACTCTGTATCTAGCCCCTCTACCCTCTCTAGAGAGCTGGACTTCAGAGAGGCCCATATGGCAAGGAACTGGGTTACTGTCTGGCCCACAGCCAGCAAGTGACTGAGGCCCTTAGTCTAACCATGTGATCTTGCAAGCAGATCCTTCCCTAGTTGAGGATCAGATGAGACCACTGTTCTGACCAATACCTGATTACAACCTTGTAAGACCCTGAATCAGAGGACCTAGCTAAGCCCTATCTGGACTCCTGACAGAGAAACTGTAAGATAATAAATGTGTGTTGCTTTAGGCTACAAAGTCTCTGATAATTTTTTAGGTAGCACTAGATAACTAACACACCTAGGTTACTAAGGACCAGTATTCATAAATGTCATAATTCAGTGTTTCTCATTACTATCTGTTCTATGAGGATGATAAGCTTTGTTTCAAGGCTAACGATTACATGTGTGATCCACATCCAAAGTCCACTCTTGTCTGCTCATCAGAATTACTAGGGATGTTTGAACCCTTAGCCAGAGCTAATCAAACAGAATCTCTGGAGCTAGAACCTGCTGGAATGGTTTTTTTTTTTTAATTCTCTGAAAATTATCTTTTTTTTTTTAAGATTTTATTTATTTATTTGACAGAGAGAGACACAGCGAGAGAGGGAACACAAGCAGGGGGAGTGGGAGAGGGAGAAGCAGGCTTCCGGCTGAGCAGGGAGCCTGATGTGGGTTTCGATCCCAGGACCCTGGGATCATGACCTGAGCCGAAGGCAGACGCTTAACGACTGAGCCACCCAGGCGCCCCTCTCTGAAAATTATCTTGCCCAAGAGATTTATTAACTACAAAGGAAGAAATAGTACCTTTAGAGTGGAGAAATCTAAGCATCTTAACCATGTGATCAGTGGTGACATCACCAACAAGACACATCAACATCGTGTATCCTCTGGTATTATGCTCTGAGGATATATTACTTCTGTAGTATTAATGCATAACCTTAATGTAATCAGAGAAAATACGGGATCAAACCCAAACTGAGGAATATTCTACAAAATAACTGGCCAGTATTCTTAAAAAAAAAAAAAAAGTGTCTAAGTCATGAAAGACAAGAAAAGACTGAGGAACTGCCACAAATTGGAGGAAACAGAAGAGAAATAACAAGTAAATGCACCACAGGATCTGGAATCAGTGGCAAGGACTATAGTTTAATTACTAGTATGTATCTATGTTAATTTCCTGGTTTTGATAATTATACTAAGTTTATATAAGATGTTAACATTAGGAGAAACTGGATGAAGACGATGTAAGAACTGTTTTTGCAACTTTTTTAATAAATCAAAAATTATTTTGAAATAAAAACAAACAAAAAGCCTCTACTTGGGAGTTTCTCACAGTATTTACTTTTGCTCTTCAGAAGCACAAGTAACAACCTAGACATTTACTTTTACTTTGGTGATAGCCAAAGGACTGAGCTGGAGAAATGACCGTAGACCAGATCAGGGTGCCATCTTATCAGAAAACAGAAACACCTGGAATGCTTCCTGCATTTTGAAACATTTACCCCCTTTATTTTGTTTTTCAAATTACAAAAGTAATATATGTTGTAACAAGTAAAACAATACAAAGATAAATAAACAACTGCTTATTTTTCCCTTCCGCCCACCAAGGTAACCAATGTTAATTAACACCTTGCTGTATATCCATCCATACTTTTCTTTGTTCACAGAAACATACATGCATATATATACACAGTTTTATTTTTTAAAAAATAGATTCATATACATTATTCTGCAATTTTCTCTTTTCACTTAACAATATACCATGAACACCTCCACAAATTAGCAGAGTTCTAGCTCCCCACTGAATTTTAATCACACATTTGAGATATCATACTGGGTTCATTTATATATTTTTTTCTATTTGGCTTTCATTTTCCTTGACTCCCTCATAACCAACCTGCATCACCCACCTCCCCCCAACCCAATGTATACTCTTCTATACTTTTCTTCATGCATAGAAAATCATACACAAACATACATGGATACATGTTTTTCACTCAAACAGCTAGAGGAATTTTGTCACTGATTTAAAAAACAGGCTCATATTTTACACACTTACCTGTACTTTTTTTGCTCAAGAAAACATTGTGGAATTCTGTTCAAGTCCACTAGCATAGTTTAATTTGTCCACCTTAATGGCTATATAAACATTATATGGAATGGATATACTAGTTTCTCCCCTCTTCCAATTTCCCTACTGATGGGCATTTATTTTGATTCTAGTGTTTTATTGCCAGTAGGAACAATTTTATAATAAATATACATATTCATCTGTCCTTTATGTATTGGGGTTTTACTTCTAAGAGAAGATTCCCCGAAGTGGCATAAATATTTTAAGTTATAATAGATGTTGCGGATTGCTTTTCAAAAGAGCTGTAATTTATGTTTCTGCCAGCAGGGTATAAGAACAACCTTTGTTGGGACAGCAAAAAGCATTCCTGCCATTTTCTGTCAGTTTGATTGCATACAGTTATCTCATTATGACTTTAATCTGTATTCCCCAACAACTACCAAGGCTATACATTTTTTGATGGTCCCACCAGCCACTTGGATTTGCTCTTTTTACAACTTGTCTATTCACATTTTCTGCCATGTTTTGCCATTGAGTTATCACTTTCCTGTCAATCTGAAAAGCACTTCTCTGACTGGCTTTGCAAATATTTCACCCAAAATTATAATGTATTGACTTTGTTGATGGCACCTTTTGCCATACAAAAGATCATAGTTTTACGTAGTCAATTTTTTCCTATTTTTTATTTTTATTTAAGTAGATTCCATGTCCAGCATGGAGCCCAATGTAGGGCTTGAACTCATGAACTGAGATCAAGAGTCGGAGGCTTAATGGACTGAGCCACCCCGGCACCCTATTTTTTTATTTTTTAATAGCTTTTATCCTGTGTTGATAAAATTAATCTAACTCTTAAACTGTACGTGTAGTCTTTCATTTTCCTTTAAGAACTTATGATTTACAAAATTTAAATCTGAAATCCACCTGGATTTTTTTTATATGGTTGGTGCTGCTAATCCAACTTTACTTTCTTCCTGATTAAAAGCCAATTGTAACAGAATTCTTTTTACATAAGTGATTCCTTTCCCCTATGGTTTGAAATTCTAGCTTTTCCATATATGAGAAAGTTCATACATACATGGGTCTAAGGTCTATTTCAGGATATTCGATGCTGTTCCATTGATGTATTTATCGGTTCCTTTGCCAATACTTTATTAAAGTGACTTCATGTTATATTCCAACATCTGGTATGCAATTTTCTTTTTCATACTTTTCTTGTTTAGATTGTTAGAACAAATGTTTTTCCATAAGGACTTTAAGATAAGATCATTTCACATAAGATTAAAAAAAAAAAGGCACAGACATTTAGTGTAATTCCAAAAGAAGTGTATATATGTTATTAGATGTTTACAGAGAGAAGCTTTTAATTTCTATACTGTCTTCTCAGAAAATTGTCTTTTAACTCAAAACAATTACTAGTCTCTTCATTTATTGATATACAATCATATCATCAGCAAAAAATTTTACCTTTTTTATTGTTTATACCAATTATTTAATTTTATTTTCTACTGCCTTCATTGGAAACTCTAAGACAATATTTAGTAAAAATAGACAGCAGTGAACACTTTTATCTCTAATACTATTAAATTCTTAATCTTCAAAAAATCGTTTTAACATAATATATGCTATAGTTTTGGTAAAGAGAATCTTAAGTGGTTATTATATATTACAATTTAACTTACATGTTTGCAAAATTCAATTAAATACCTTCCAGCCTCTATGATGGCATCTTCTCTTTCAAACTGTTAATTTTATTGATGTATTTCCTATTACTGCATTGGCTCTGCATTCTTGGAATAATTCTTACTTGGTCATTATAATACATCATTCTTAGGTATACTGCTGAATTCTATTTGCTATTATTCTAATTATAATTTTTTGTTTCTAAACTCATGAGTAAGACTGGTTTGGGGTTTTCTTTTTTCCAATACTTTGGTTTTGGTGTTAAAACTTATTCTGACTTCATAAAATAAATTGGGGATCATAGTCTATGGGCTGAAATATTTCAAATAACACTGGTATTACTCTTTAAAAGTTAGATGAGGGGCACCTGGGTGGTTCAGTCAGTTAAGCATCCGATTCTTGATCTCAGCTCAGGTCTCAATCTCAGGGTCATGAATTCAAGCCCCACGCTGGGCTCCATGCTGGGCATGGAGCCTACAAAAAACAGTTAGATGAAACTAATTATAAAAACATCTGGGCCTGGAGCATTTTTCAATCCTAGATCTTTAATCACTTTTCCAAACTCTTCAATGGTAATTGTTCTATCAAGTTTCTACTTCTTATCGCAATTTTTCTAACTTACATTTTGCTAGAAAAACATTTATTTCCTCTTTTAAAAGCATGCTGATTTACAGTTGTAAGAAATATCTTTTATCATTCTTTTAATCACATCTTTATCTGTGATTGTTTCTTTTTTTTCCAAGTTTTTATTTAAATTCCAGTTAACATACAGTGTAATATTAGTTTCAGGTGTAGAATTTAGTGATTCATCACTTAAACACAACACCCAGTGCTCATGTGATTGCTTGCTTTCTCATTCTGAATCAGGCATTCTTATAGCGAGGCAAATCTTGCACAATATGGCCATTTGTTTTATTTGGATGACATGGCAGCTCAGGGAAGTAGACTTTGTTCAAAGACTGGAATGATGAAACAACTTGGGTTTTAGTGCCCAGGACATTCACAGGGAAATTGATAGGGAAGAAAAGTGGATGTTGCTGAATTAATTTGCAAAAAGAAAAAATAAAAACAGAAAAATTTTCCTTCTTTGGTCTCTGCATGAAGCATTTCTGAATTATAAGACTCATATAAACAGTGTCTTTCCTACTAATTTGCTGCAAGGCATGTTAAGCAAGACTAAGAAAACAGAAGAGGTGCACAATATACCACGGCCACACTACTTTTTGTCAAATAATGGCTGTGCTGAGTAATCAAGTTTATGGTATTTTGTTCATCCAATATTAGGTTGTGAAACTATTCCTTAGCTTTGCCTTTTTAACATTAACAAATGTTATTATCATTATTTTTTATATTGTTAAGACAGTAAAAGACAATGGTGATATTTAGAGTGGAAAAGTTGGTGAATGGCATTCTACATACTACATGACACATATGCTTGATATTCACAATTTACATTAAATTCACATTTACATTTCCAAAACATAATGCTTATTATGTGGCTCACGGTGGAATATACCAGAATATACCAATTCTCTTCACATATATTTTGTATGCTGTTGTCATTCCATTAACATATTTTTAAACTTTCATAAGCCAGAGTAACCATGTTTGTTTTATAAAGTATTTTCTATAATCTTTGTATAAAAATTTCTATCACAATTAGAACGACTTCCCTTATGGTAAAACATTTTGTCCAAATTCATTAAATCAATGAGATCTCTCCTAAAAATGAATGCCTCCACATATAATGAAATAGGATACCTTGATTAAGGCTTTCTCACAATTATCAGGTTTTAATTCCTATAGGCATTCTTTCTGGCATGAATTTTCTGATGTCTACTGAGGTTTGGCTTCTGATAAAAAGCTTTGCCACATTCACTGCATCCATAGGGTTTTTCTCCTGTATGAGTTCTCCAATGTTTATTGAGGCATGACTTTTGGCTGAAGGCTTTCCCACATTCTCTGCAACGATATGGTCTTTCTCCTGTATGTATTTTTCGATGTACATTGAGGTATGACTTCTCACCAAATGACTTCCCACATTCACTGCACACAAAGGGTCTCTCTCCAGTATGTGTTCTTTGATGTTCTCTGCGGTGTGACTTCTGAGTGAAGGCTTTCCCACAGAAAAAACATTCAAAGGGTCTTACCCCAGTGTGAATTCGCTGATGTTTAATGAGGGTTGACTTATGTGAAAAGGCTTTCCCACAGTCAGTGCATCCATATGGCTTCTCCCCAGTGTGACTTCTCTGATGCCTAATGAATTCAGACTTGTAGCAGAAGGCTTTCCCACACTCGCTACAGACATGGGGTTTCTCTGTAGGTGGAACCCTCTTACGTTTGTACACAAGAGAATTGGTTACTGCTGGTTTATACATAAGTGCTGGGCTGTGGCTGAAAGCTTTCTCACAATGACTGCATTCCCAGAGTTTTTCTCCATTAGGTCTTCTATCATGGTTTGTACGTTGTAACAATTTCCCACATCCACAGCACTCATCTTGTTTTTTTGAATAGCTTCTCTTAAAACCAATAAAATCTAAATTATGGTTTGCACTCTTTCCACAGGGGTCCCAGTTTGTAGGGTTTTGAATTGAAGGAAAAAGATTAGTGCTCAGAGGTGATATTTTCCCAAACTTATTGCTTTCATGGCTTCTTTCCTTGGGCAATGTTTTCTTGCTGATGAATGCACCTTGTTTCAAAATCATGTCTTGTCTTTTCCTCTGGACATTAACTTGACAAATGTTTTCTGGAGAAAACACAGCAAACCTTTCTTTATTCTATTAATATGATCTAGAATAAAATTACTTGAGAAATACCCTAAGAATTTAAACAATGCACAATACATGAACAGAAAGCATGAACCATAACTAAATGCAGGGAAGGGCGTTGTACGAGTACAGAAGATTCACAACACTGGCACTAATGAAATGGAATATGTCAGAGGGTACAAAGTAATAATTTTGAAGAAGATGGGATATTGTAGAGCAGTGGTTGACAAACATGTTCTTAAAGGGCCAGAGAGTAAATTTTAGGCTTTGTGGGCCATATGGTCTCAGTCAAAATTACTCAACTCTCCCATTGTATTTGACAAACATAAGACAGTATATAAATGTAAAGGCATGGCTGGGTTCCAAAAAAACTTTATTTACAAAATCAGGTGGCCAAACTATAGGCTGTAGTTTGTCAATCCTGTTACTGAGGTGTCATATAGACCCTTGCTATTCAATGTGTGGCTCTTGGGGCGCCTGGGTGGCTCAGTTGTTAAGCGTCTGCCTTCAGCTCAGGTCATGATCCCAGGGTCCTGGGATCGAGCCCTACATCGGGCTCCCTGCTCAGCGGGAAGCCTGCTTCTCCCTCTCCCACTCCCCCTGCTTGTGTTCCCTCTCTCGCTGTGTCTCTGTCAAATAAATAAATAAAATCTTTAAAAAAAAAATGTGTGGCTCTTAAAAGAGGGAAAAGAAAGGCAGCTGATAGCCAGGTTACTATGGTTTCAGGAAGGTTGATGAGCATAGTTTAATGACGCAAAATACATCCTAGAGGGCACCAGAATGTGATGGTTAGGAGTACTGGTTCTGAAACCTGACCGCATAGGCTCAAATCTCTGTTCAGTCCCTTACTTTATGTTCTTAGATAAGTTTCCTAACTTTTCTGCGACTGTTTCATTTGTAAATGGGGTAATAAAGGCTGGATATCTCACAGGTGTTGTAAGGGTTGAATGAAATGATATATGTAAAGGGCTGAGAACAAATCTGGCATAGAGTGAGCCACACATTGGCCAATAATTCTAGTGCTGTTGCTGCTACTACTACAACCAAGGTGGATGAACAGTGGATGGTAGTAATTTCAGAGACATCATTTTGGGGAGAAGCATGAAAATGACTTGAATGTTTTTGGGGTTCATGTAATATTTAATTCAATTATGTGATTACAACACCAAGCGTAAGTGGCAGAAACAGATTGGGAACAGACAGCACTGACTATTCTTGCTAAGCCCATGACTCTTGTGGAGAAGCAGAAGTTCAAAGGCATCCTGAAGAGTAGGTTACCAACACTTGGGGTGCCATGGGTATTGTTGGGATATTTTACAGAGCTGATGGGAAAGGGGCAGTTATTCTGAATGTTAAACGAAAATAGTTAAGATGGGCCAAGCTCAGTCATGTGCTTTACTGCCCCGCTGTCCTTGGTTACCTGAAATTTAATACTTCCTCCTCTTGGACTTAAGGAAACTAAAGGACTAAGGGATAAGGAAAGGATGGGAAGTGAGAGTGTGGGTATGGCGGGCAGGTCTGGGGCATTTTACCTGGAAACTGTGAGAACAGGAAATAGGAAGGGACCAGCCGGAGCGGGAGAATGACAGAAGCTTATTTGTAAGAATGCCTGAATGTGAAAGAGAAGGTGTACTGAAAACCTTAAGAGACCAAGGATTCTAGAGAAAGGGCAATGGAGCAAGAACACAGGGAGAGATGAGATGAGGAGGAGAAGGAACACCTGGATAAAGGAGGTGGGGTGCATGGAGGATGAAGGGTCATCAAGAAGGCTAAAGCTCTCAGGGAAATGTCTCCAGCTGCTTGCAAAGCTCTAAGGCTTTTGAGAGCTGGGCTCTGAACAAAATCCCAAAGGTGCCAGCCTCCCATAGTACCTCTTTTGCTGGATGTATACTTACCCTGACAGTGGCAGCCTGAGCATGCTGCCTCACAAATCCATGGTGCTTCTTCCTGCTCCAGCTTGAGGATCACATATGGTTTAGTGCCTTCATAACCTGTTCCAGGGAAATGATCCAGGCCTTGGGCTGAGCTCCTTGGTCTTCAGGGCCACTCAGGCAGCATTAAAGGCTGCACAACAGATATTGTACTTGGGAGAAGACTGTACATACACCTTGTCCAGAACCCAAAAGGAATTAGTAACCCAGGACCACTGAACCTCAAGCCAAATTCACTGAGGCAGCACAGTGTAAGAGTCAGGAACGCAGAATGTGCAGCCAGACTGCTGGGGTTCAAATCCTACTCTTGGCCCTGTATGTACTAGGTGAGTGACACTGGGCAAGTTACTTCGCCCATCTGCCTCTGTTTCCAAATGTGTAAAATAGTGGTACTAATAGTACCTACCTCATAAGGCTCTTAGGAGAATTAAATAAGTTAATACTTTAAAAGTGACTGAAATAGTGTCTGGCACATAGGAAGTATTTGGTACTTCTGAGGCTCTAGGTACCTCAGTTACTTTTAGCAACTGAAAAAGGAAAGGCGGTCATTCACGCATAATCTAAATTGTGTGGTGGAGCTGTTCTTACCCACTGAGACAAGGTTGCTGTAGGTCTCCAGCATCACATCCCGGTACAGTGCCCTCTGAGCAGGATTCAGCCTGTGCCACTCCTCTTGAGTGAAGCCCACTACTACGTCTTTGAAGGACACAGGTCTCTGCTGAGGATGAAATGGCATTGAGTCATGTGGGAAAATGTAGCCAGGGGTGGATGGTATGGAGTTTTTATGTTTCTAGGTCAGAGCCTATCATGATAATTTATCTATCTAGGATGCACTTACATTCCTGGCTTTGGGCTATGTATGGTAGGGAAAATAACAATCACATTGGAACCCACTGTCATATACACTTTGAGTCAACATATATTGACTGAAGAAGACCTGCTGTGTGTAACCCACTGCTGGCTGCTGGAGACATAGTCATGGATTGTTCCTGACCTCAAGGAGCTCACAGCCTGGCAGAAGGCAATATGTAAAGCCATCCAGGTGAAAGTATATGAGCTATGGTGGCAGGACATCTAGGTTACAGAAAAGTGTGAATGATCCATTAAATGTTTCAAGGTCTAGCAAGGCTTCAGAGCTAGGGGACATGTGGAGCTGAGTCTTCTCTGCAGAAAGATGGAGAAACTGCAATCCTTGCAGACAGAGCAGCATGAACACAGGCATGGGGATAGAAAAGTGATTTTAAGGGCTGTGAGGCTCTCAGTAACAGGAGGAGTATAGAGGGGCGTATGAGTGATGAGATGATGGACTTTAAGACAATGGAAAATCTATCAAGGGAGAGGTGTGTGTAGAAAGCACATTCTATTAGGCATGTGGTAAGTTTCTTGATCCCATGTCAAGTGGTACAGCGGTAACTCTAAGCAGACTGAAAAGTTAAGAATATACCTTGTATCCCTAGAGGAACCACTAAAATCATAGTGCAAAGAGGTGTATTGAAGTAAATGAAGTAAATGAATTCCAAAAAATATTCATTTAATTCACACAAACACACACGTAAAGAGAAGAAATAGAGGAACAAAAGCACATGGGACAAATAAAAAACCAAATACTAAAAAGATACAAATCCAACATAACAATAATTATACTTATATTCAATGATAGTAAATTATAAATTAATATATGACTGAACACTCCAAAAGGCAGAGATTGTTAGGCTGGATTAAAAAAGCAATGCTGGGGTGCCTGAGTGGCTCAGTTGGTTAAGCGTCTGCCTTCAGCTCAGGTCATGATCCCAGGGTCCTATGATCAAGCCCCACATCGGGCTCCCTGCTCAGCGGGGAGCCTGCTTCTCCCTCTCCCTCTGCCACTCCCCCTGCCTGTGCTCTCCTGCTCTCTCTCTGTGAAATAAATAAAATCTTTTAAAAAATAAAATAAAAAAGAAGTGCTGCCTGTAAGAGATACAAAACTCACAGATAATTTGCAAGTGAATGGATACGAAGAGAAATGCGGTGGGTGGCCTGGAGGGAAGTGAAAGCAAAAACTGCAATAATGCAGGTAGAAGATGGTGTTCACAAGTGGGACAGTAAAAATGAGACAGAGAAGGACCATTGTAAAGAAGAGCAGAACCTGCAGCTTAACTGGTTGTGGGGGGGGGTGAAGGAGGGGTAAGGGTAACACCCAAGTATCTCAAAGCCAACTGGGTGATGGTGAATCAGATATGAGAAAAACAGCAGAAACAAAGAGGATGTGTTGTTAGACATGTCTGGGGACACATGGGTGGAGACACTTAGCATGCAGCAGGATGAACAATAGAATCTTGTATCAGAAGCAAGATCAGGAAGGGAGCTAAAGCTCTGGAAGCAGCAGCAGAGAAGCGGTAACTAAAGTTGTCAGTGTGGGATCTCTCTGCAAGGAGACAGGATGAGCAAAGTGTCCAGGCCAGAGCCCCAAGGGACCCTAATAGATTTCAGCTGGAGACCCAAGAGGACTTACAGGTACTAACCTAAGAGGGCACCTGTGATATTGTGATATATTAAGAAATATATATTTGGTTTTCCTTCCTCGTTCCTGGAACAGAGCTTCTTAAACCCTTACAACCTCCTGAGTAACAGGGGTAATAGGAGTGTCTTTTGTTATTCCTAACAAGCCTCAGTCAACAATACACAAGTTTATGCCAATGACATGGAGGAAGGGGGCTAGTTGCCAGAGGAACTAACCATATGATTAGAGGGCTGGAACTTTCAGCCCCCTTTTCTACCCCGCCCAACCTCTGGGTCAGGGTGGGGGTGGATGCGTGGTACCAGAGATTGAGCTAATTACCAATAATGATTTAATCAACGATGCCTACATGATGGAAATCTCATGAAAACCCTGAAGAGCTTTCAGGTTGGTGAACACATCTGGGAAGATGCACACCCCAAACTTCAGACAGAAGCTCATGTGCTCAGGACCATTCTGTACCTTGTTATCTGGCTTTTCATTTGTATCCTTTATAATAAACCTGTAATAGTAAGTAAAGTGTCTCCCAGATTTGTGAATCACTATAGCAAATTATCAAAACTGAAGAGGGAGTCATAGGAACCCCTGACTTATAGCTAGTTGGTCAGAAGTTCAGGTGACAACCTGAGATTTGTAATTAGCATCTGAAGTGGGGGGGCAGTCTTGTGAGACTGAGTCCCTAACTTGTAGGGTCTATGCTAACTCCAAGTTGAACTAAGTTGTAGGACACCCAGTTGGTGTCCATGGAGAATTGGGAGAATTGTTTGGTGTAGGGAAAAAACTCCCCTATTCCTGTGAGTAGAGGAAACAGTACCTATGATATATCTTCAAGTGACTGTAAAGAACTGAACTTTCCCCAAAGAGAGGTCTGATCTTTGCACTCAGCTCCTGGGAGTTAATCTCTAAGCCCCTGCAATGTTCTGTTTGATAAGACCGTCTTTGTTTACCTGGAGGCCTTGGGCCACATGAGATAGTCTAACAATGTGATTTCTGGTGGGGGCTTTGGGTCACAGGCATCAGCTCAACCTCAGGAGGAAGCTGTACATCTGTTTAAAAAATGTGGGGTCCTACAGTGGCACCTGAGCAGTAGCCCAAGCAGATAGACCTGAAGGCAGGACCTGGCACATGAGACCCTAGACCCATACAAAGGCCATGTACATAGGAGGTACCAACCAGATATCCTCTCTGATGTCAGAATAACATATCATGGTAGTGGGAGAACAGCAGTCAGTCTTTTACCACAGAGCATGGGGCCTGGCTCAGTTGACAGGCCTGGGTCGGTATTTCCCCAACAGAGCTAATTGGAGTGGGAGGTAATGGGATGGGATGGGATGGGATGGGATGGGATGGGATGGGATAGAACAGAACAAAATAGAAAAGATGTAATTTGACACCCATAAAGGCATGTCATTTTCACCAAACATAGGGATGAAGAGGAAAGAGATGGAAGAAACATTAAGGTTGTAAAATTACCATCACTTAGTGACTGAGTGTGAGAATGGGAAGGCAGGGAGAAGTCAAGGATATGGTCCTGGCTTGTCCAGTGGGATGGTACCATCTCCTGAGATGGGAAACTGTGGCACAAAGAGGTTCAGAGACTTGTGCAAGGTCATACAGACGGTAAGGTCTGGGATTCAAACTCAACAGTCTGGCTCCAAGTCTGTGCTCTCACCCAGTATATGCTGTTGCCTTCTGCACAGAAGGGTGCAAATGGTACAGTCTACTTTAGCAGAACAATCAGAAAGCATCTTCTGATTTCAGCCTCAAAAAAGTCACCAGGGCCCTTGGCCAGAAAAGCTTTAGTCAAGTGGGGAGAGAGGATGCTGGACTCAAGAAACAGGATATGGAAACATCAAGAGCAGGAAGTCACTACAAGAGATGGAAGGAGGCCAGGGGAGAAAGGGAAGGCCTTTGTGGTTTGGAAGTGGTGATGGTTTCTAGGGTTGGAGGCACTGACGATGGTTGTAGGGACAAGGGAAAAGATCTGGGAAAGGGGAGAGGATGGGTCTCCAGAAAGAGATGTCCCTCCTGGAGGGAGACCTCCAAAGAGGTGGAAATGTAGGAACTCAGGGGCTGAGGGGGAGTCCTGTCAGGACGCAGGGAACTTCACCATCATAAGATGGTGAGGAAGGAAGGGGGAGCTGGGAACTCTTCACACCAAGACTTCGTGGGGACTAAGATGTTCACTGTTTGCTGCCAAACTAGTAAAGACAGTTAAGGGAATGACAGTAATTTAAATAATGGACAGCTCATCTGTTCCTCAGTCTAGATCAAGGACACAGATACCCTGGACCAAAATCAGGACTTCCATAAATGGGGAGGAATCTTCCTGCCCGCTCCTTTTGAAAATAAATAATATTTGTATTTTCACTTTCCTCTAACTGAACTTTAGTATTTTATTCCATTACACATGTGGCTGCAAAGCACAGAGGAGTTAAAACTTCCTGCAGCTCTGACACTGATAGAAAACATTAACACTTCATTGGGAAACTAAGTCATGATGCTTCTGGTCACCTCGAAATCCAGGAGTTCTGTGGGGCTAATACTCAACTCCAAGGGAAGAGCTGAACCACTGCAGAAAACATGCTTCTACATTGGTTAGTTATCGTTAAGAATTTTGTCCTCTCTGCCAGTGCTTCTCACACTTACAAGAGCATAAGGATCACCGAGAGCTTGTTAAACATAGATTCCCAGGCTCCACCCTCAAATCACTTGATTCAACCAGGTCTGGGGTGGGGCCTGCCATTCTGTATGTCTAACAAGCTCCTTGGAGAAGCCCATGTCCTGGGACCACATGGTTAGCAGCAGTGTTGCTCTACCGCAGCCATAAGAAGGCCCCTCAGGGAAATGTCTTTAGAAAATGCCTTGAAAAGCTAGTTTTCTCTTAGAAATAACAGCAAGCTTCTATCCTGTGGCCAGTGCAAATCATGGGCTGTGTTTGCCTTTTTGCTGGGCCACCAGGAAGACCAAAGTTATAGACTCTTGTTGGACTGTTTCGTATATCTGTATTCCAACAAAGAAGGTTCCTTGCATCATTCCTTGTAATATCAAATTTGGAAATTCCCTGAATGTCATAAAATGGAGGGCTAGTTAAATCAGTCATATTCCATGCGTAGGATGGAGCATTATGTACCTTGTTTAAAAAAAATGGTGTGGGGGCGTCTGGGTGGCTCAGTTGTTAAGCGTCTGCCTTTGGCTCAGGTCATGATCCCAGGGTCCTGGGATCTAGCCCCGCACTGGGCTCCCTGCTCCGCAGGAAGCCTGCTTCTTCCTCTCCCACTCCCCCTGCTTGTGTTCCCTCTCTTGCTATGTCTCTGTCAAATAAATAAATAAAATCTTAAAAAAAAAAAAAATGGTGTGGTCCCAAGTACTAATATGTACAATCTCTAAGATATTTTATTTGGGAAAAAAGGGGGTAGAGTAGTATGTATAATAAGAGTCTTGCCATAGTATCTATGTGTAGACAGAAGCTGTGATGTTCCACTCAAATCCCCCTGAAGGACTGAGGTATTCTCCCAGCTGTTAGAAGACTGGCTACTGCAGGCTTGAGACCTTTTGCAAAGTGCCCTTGGTCAAAGGGAGCTACCTACGCAAATTTATGTCCCCTCCCTGGGGCAGCCTACACCAGTGACTGGTTGATTTCAGAATATAAAGGCCTCCTTCTCTCCATTCAAGACAACAGCAAGGGCCATCCCAGCTCCAAAGCATCTTGTAAGGTCAGCTGGTGCCTCTATTTAAATCCCTCTGCCTAATCTTGCTTCCTTCGCTCCTTATAAGTGTTCTAAAGAGTCTCCCTAGTAAACCTCATGTGTGCAAATCTCCCACCTCCAAGTCTGTTTTCTGAGAACCCAGCCTGTGATAAAGTATACATGCTTGAAATGCACATATTTTTTCTAGAACAGTTTCCCAAGAAGGGAAACTTGGCTACTTTATGTCACACTTACCTGGTACTCAATCATTTTCTGCTGTTCTTGGAAAAAGATTTGAGTCCTGTGAAGACAGAGACTGGGGGGAGGAGGATGGAGAAAGAGAGAACAGAGCTGTGAGGGACCAGGCCCGTCTCGGAACTTGCGAAGTCCCTACATAAATCTTGTACAAAAATCCATGCTTGAAATCACTGTGGTAAAAGAAAAAAAAAATGGTGCCTTTCAATTCAGAATGTGAATGCATAAAACAGACCTCCCAAGAAGTAAAAGCTGCTACCAATTAAGAAGTAAAAATTTATTAAAAACCAAAATCTTTTAAACTTAAATAACTGTCCCCATGGGAGATGGATCCAAATTCATGCTGAGTGGGATCACCCCTGCAGAACAATACGTTTTCTCTGAAAGGCAAAAAAGGCTTGGGTTTTGCCTCTTACTTACTTTTAAAGTTGCACTTGTTCACCTACCGGTGTTTATGAAGTCCTATATTTGGGATGCTTTTTCTATAATAATATTACCATTAAAAAAGTATATACTGGGCGCCTGGGTGGCTCAGTTGGTTAAGCGACTGCCTTCGGCTCAGGTCATGATCCTGGAGTCCCGGGATCGAGTCCCGGGATCGAGTCCCGCATCGGGCTCCCTGCTCGGCAGGGAGTCTGCTTCTCCCTCTGACCCTCCCGACCCTCCCCCCCTCATGCTCTCTCTCTCAGTCTCTCTCTCAAATAAATAAATAAAATCTTTAAAAAAAAAAAAAGTATATACTATAACTTATTACAAAGAACTCAAAGCAAAATAAAATAACTGTATAACATCAGTTAAAACTGATGGTTACTTACACTGTGGTACGAATGATTACTGAAAGGCTACACCTGGTTATTTATCCAGTGTATTATTAAATGTTGTTGTTAAAAAATATTTTTCAACAGATGAGAACAAACAACTGTTATTTTTAATTAAGATGTTTAATTAAAGAGATAACTATGTGGCTTAAATTATAAAAGAGAAAGGGTAAATCATAGATTAAGAATGTAACTATTTTATGACATACTTGAATGTTTAATGGTAAAATCATCAATGGGATAACTCATGGTTTTAAAACTTATATATTTTGTGGCTGTGTCACTGCAATTGGAAAAACCTGCTAGTGCCCAGATCCTGATCTCTTCCATTGGTTTCACTAAAAAGGAACTTGAGCTCCTTGGAAAATGGCTGAGTCCACATCTGGAGCAAAGAACACAAGAAGCACCTCTGTAATCCTGAGTGCCAGAAAGCAAAGACACTTCTTCAGGGATAAGTGCTGGCAAGGGGGCAGAGGAACCAGCCTCAAGGGCTCCAACCATGTGAGGAGGAGTGGTAAGAGCAAACTGCTCATATCTACCAGAGCTAAACATGAATACTTCATGGTCTAGGAATTCCATATGAATGCATATGTTCACAAACTTTTAGTCTACAAAAACTATGAATTTGTAGTGAAATTCAAAAATCAAAATATTAACTTTTTTCTCTTAAAATAATAGGTACTGTAACTAAATAGGACTACTAAAACATGGAGGCTCCTAATTTCTAAAACATCCATACATTAGGAAATGTGGAACTAAACTGGTACAAAAAACTAATAAAGAATGTTTAGGTTTTTCTTTCTTTTTTTTTTTTAAGATTTTATTTATTTATTTGACAGAAAGAGACATAGTGAGAGAGGGAATACAAGCAAGGGGAGTGGGACAGGGAGAAGCAGGCTCCCCACGGAGCAGGGAGCCCGATGCGGGGCTCGATCCCAGGACCCCGGGATCATGACCCGAGCCAAAGGCAGACACTTAACGACTGAGCCACCCAGGTGCCCCAAGAATGTTTAGGTTTTTCACTCACAGAAGTGAGAAACCTTATAAAGAGGTCTGAAAATACTGTGCCAATAATCGACAGCCTGGAATTAAAAATCGACATTCAGGAGTGACAAGAGCTTTCACGCATAGCTGATGGGATTGTCATTTGGTTCAACCATAAGGGAAACTGGCCATATCTACTAAAAGCTTCCAGGTGGTTTAGTGATTAGCAGAGGACACCAGATTTAAGGGGAGAAAATTCTTTCAAAATGAATACATTCTTCAGGGCGCCTGGGTGGCTGTCGTTAAGCATCTGCCTTTGGTTTGGGTCATGATCCCGGGGTCCTGGGATTGAGCCCTGCTTCAGGCTCCCTGTTCTGCAGGAGGCCTGCTTCTCCCTCTCCCACTCACCCTGCTTGTGTTCCCTCCCTCTCTGTGTCTCTCTCTGTCAAATAAATAAATCTTTAAAAAAAAAATACATTCTTCTAGCTTTGTTTTACAGAAGTCTTTTCTCATTAATCTATTGACAAATCATCTTTTAAAAAAGGAAATGATTCTAAAGTGCTGGAAAGATTAAGAAAAAAAAGAAAAAGAAGTGCTGGAAATATTCTCTGTCATGATCTGGGTGGTGGGTACATGAGGATACACATATGGAAACATTCATAACACTATAGTGCAAAATGAGTTAATGATTTACTTTTCTCAGTGGACAATAAATATCCACTATCTCTTAATTGTATGAAAATGCTTTGAAATATTGTACAGGTCAGAAAGCACAGTTAGTATAAAACAGGCATTTAGCTATCAGGACTGAGCAGTGAGCTTATTATGCCTTTTATTTATTTTTTTAAATTTTTTATTGTTATGTTAATCTTATTATGCCTTTTAAAAGATTTCTTTTTTACCGAGGTATAATTTACATATAATAAATGAATCCAGTTTAATTGCATACTTCGATGAGTTTTGACATATGTATTCATTCACCCACATAACTCTCACACAATCAGGATATGGGACATTTGCAGGAACATCCTGTTCACAAGATATAATAATGAATTTGTCTTAATGGTGTTAAGATTAACTACTTAGATTCCTGTCTCTTTTATAGGAGAAATAAAAAAAGCGATTTCCTTGAATGTTAAATAAAATACAGATACTTCTTTGCTTAACTAATACATTAATCAAGTTATACCAGTAAGTCAAAAAAGTAGTTAAAAAAAAGTATGATCTACTGTTTGAATTTCATTTATATGAAGGTCAGAAACAGACAACCCTAACCTATGTGATGGCTATGACTAGGTACTGCTTGGGAGGGGTGGGGGAAGGCTTTGGGGTGCTGGAAATGTTCTCTATTATGATCTGGGTGGTGGGTACATGAGTGTGCACATATGGAACAATTCATTAAGCTACACACTGTTCTCTATGCACGTTACACCTCAAGTTAAAAAAGAATCCCCACAATCCCATTATTTAAAAAATACATGTGTAGAAAAGCTTTTGGCATGAAATACAGTAAAATGTTATTAGTGCTTCGATTTGGGTTGAAACACACACACACACTTTTCATTATCTATATATCACTGTTTCACTGCCTTTTTTCATCATGAGAGAAGCCCAGGAGGGCTTTAAAAGGGGGAGGGGGGTTCTCTGAGAGAACTGAACCGTCCACCAGGGACTGAGCTGGAAGGAAAGGCCTGCAGCCCAGCAGACTGGGGCAGTTAATCCAGCTTTGATAACTAGTCGATTCTCTAAAAGAGTACACCCCCTCCCTCATTCTCCTGGATTTAGCTACTCGCTTGGGCCTGTTCAGTCCATGGCTGCAAGGTGCCAGCCGAGTGGTGGTGTGGCAAATGTGCTAGTGAGTGTGTGTCCAGAGGCCTGTGTTCTGGCCCTGGCCCTATGACCTGGGAAAGTCACTTCCTTCACCTTTAAATGAGATGGCAGCATCAGTGGGTGAGAAACCACTGGTAAGAGCTGGATGAAAAACAGGATATTTATATAGTATCTAAATATCACCCCCCCCCAGATATTTATTAATTATAAAATGAAAAATTGTAACTCTGCCCTGGAGAAACCTGGCAGACATCACCTTACCAAGTGATTAGTTAATATCACAAGTGATGGGACACAAGTCATGTGCCCCCTGATATAATGCACTATGATGGGCACAACATCCCTTCTGTGATATTCTGCCCAAAATGCATACTTGAATCTAATCACGAAGAACCATCAGACAAAATCATGTTGAGTGGCAGTAATACAAAATAACTGGCCTATACTCTTCAAAAGTGTTGACTTCATGAAAGACAAAAAGACTGAGGAACTGATTCCCATTAAAGGAGACTTTATAAACGGGTATGTTAACTAAAGGTAGTCTGTGATCCTGAACTGGATTCTGGAATGAAAAAAGAAATGTTATTATGAAATGACATTATTGGTTCACATCTGAATAAGGACTGTGGATTAGATAATGGTATTAAATCACTGTGTTAAATGCCTGATTTTGAAAATTGCACTATGGTTATATAGGAAAATGCTCTCATTCTTAGGAAATGCACACCGAAGTATTTTGGGGTAAAAGAGCATCATATCTGTAACTTATTCTCAAATACTTGAAAAGAAAAGGGTAAAAATAATATATATTTATAATATAACACATATATACATATACAGAGACAGCATGAGAGTGTAAGCGTTTATCTGGGTGAGTGTAGATGAAGGATATATAAAAACTGACAGTAATATCCCTGCAAATTTTTCAAATAAAGTTTAATTAAAAAAAAAATCTATAGCTATAGTAGGTCTGCTGCCACCATCACTCTGAGAATCCAGGGACTTTTCTGCCCCTTAGTCAGGATGGAATGAACTCCCCATATTCCCAGAGGCCAGGTGAGGTGGCAAAAATGACAAGGCTACAACTTCAAGTCCAGAAACTGCCAGTAAGAGTAAGGAAGTGGGCTGGCTATATCATATGCTACAAGATGGTAGAATGCACTGTGTTGGACCGATGTCTCCTTCTCTTGAGAAAACATGCCTATCTCACTTGGCCTTCCCTGCTTCCCCCTTCACTCTGTCTCTCTGAATCTTGGGACCCAACCCTCCCCCTAGCATGGAGGGTCCCTGGAAGGAGTGACACCAAGTTGAGTCTTGCTCAGCTTCTGGCTCAGGGATGATGCTATTTCCTGTTACTTAGCAGTCTTTGCTCTGGCAAGAGGTCTTGGAACCTAGGTGTTTCCTTCAGAAGAGATTCTTGTCCCAAGTTTCCCCTCTCCAAATCCAGAGGGTCTTCAATCTGGCCTGCTTGTCCCTCACAGCTCCATCTCTCCACAGTAACTCACCCTCAGCTGCAGCCCCAGGCAGGGCCTTCTGTAGACTTGACCAAGGTCCTGGGAAGCCCTGCTGTCAGCAAGGTGGCGGGACCCACAGGTATACAAGGTACTCAGGTAACCTGAAGATAAACAGACCCCATGATAAGAGTCATCCAACAGTCCCTCCCCAAATACTCTCTGAGGCCCAAGAGGAAGAAGCCTGCAGAGGACTGTGTAGGAGATAGAGCTGAGTGATGGCTTGCTTTGGGTTTGGGGCAGGGGTATCTTCTGGAAGAACTGTGAGCCTCAGAATCACTCAGAGAGAAGTTTGAACCAAGCAATTTCTCTAACCAACTGAGGGGAATCTAGGCCAAACAGTTTACCTCCCTGGGGTTCTTTCCTTATGTGTGAAAACAGGAATGATAAATGATAAAAATAATTTTAAAAAGCCCATTTCTTTTTTTTTTTTTTAAAGATTTTATTTATTTATTTGAGAGAGAGAATGAGACAGAGAGAGAGAGCATGAGATGGGGGAGGATCAGAGGGAGAAGCAGACCCCCTGCCGAGCAGGGAGCCCGATGCGGGACTCAATCCCGGGACTCCAGGATCACGACCTGAGCCGAAGGCAGTCGCTTAACCAACTGAGCCACCCAGGCGCCCTTAAAAAGCCCATTTCTAGAGGCTTTCTGTAAGTTACCTCATTTAATACATATTCAGGTAAGGCTGAAAGGGGCTGAATTATGAATTAATACCTGTTTTCCCAGATAACTCAGGTTGGATATGAGCAACAGAGGCTTCTCCGCCCCAGAGTGAATCTACCAGATGTTCTAGGTTCCCTGAGAAAGACTCCTTTCAGAATATCCTACATTTGCTGAGCCATTGTGTCTTAGCCCCAGGGCAGGCAGCCCCTACAAAGACTCTTTCAAGCTGCCTAATTCAGGTCTCTGCAGTCAAAAGTCAGTCTCTAAAAAGCTAGACATTTTGACAGGGAGCTCTGAGATTCCCCTCTGAATATCTACAGAGAAGAGCCATCCTCAACTCGTTAACTTCCTTAACAGGACCCTTATTCCAAGTCTACTCCAAACCCACAGGGTCCAATTCACTGTGCATGTTTTTGGCTTCTAGAAGGACTAGCAGAAAACAGGCAATCTCAAATGGCCAAGCCAGGGCTACAGGTCAGAATTTTGTTCTGGTGTTTGGTTTTAGAGTCTCGGACAAAACTTCTCTATGGTATGAATGTTCTGCCCTCAGATTATTTCTATGATTCCATTTAATTCAAGTTCAAAAATGGACAAAATTAGTCCATTATATTAGATCCAGAGGTGGAAGTGAGTACTGACTGATAAAGAAGTCTTCAGGGTGCTAGAGATGATGTATATCTTTTTTTTTTTTTTTAAGATTTTATTTATTTATTTGACAGAGAGAGAGACATCGAGAGAGGGAACACAAGCAGGGGGAGCGGGAGAGGGAGAAGCAGGCCCCTCGCCAAGCAGGGAGCCTGATGTGGGGCTTGATTCCAGGACCCCGGGACCATGACCTGAGCCGAAGGCAGATGCCCAACCGACCAAGCCACCCAGGCGCCCCGATGTGTATCTTAATCTTGGTTGTATTTATATGATTTTCCGCAATGTAGAAATTCCCTGAGCTGTACCCTTAAGATAAGCATACTTGACTGTATGTATGTTATACCTCAGTTTTTAAAAAAGAGTATTTAATGACCTGGAAAAATGTTTGTTGTACAAATAAAATGAAATAATCTGGATGCAAACTTAAAAAACTTTCACGCACAGCCACATACTGCCTCCCTCTTCCTATCCCCCCCCCCCCCCGCCCTGGTATGAATGTTCCATCTATAAGAGTTCAAAAACATGCAAAATTAATCAGTGATGTTAGAAACTGGGAGAATGGTTCCCCCTGGCAGGGTAGTAACAGGGAAGGCATATCATGGAGGCTTGCAGGGTGCTACAGTGTTCTGTTTTCTGATCTGAGTACATTACCCAGGGGTGTTCCTTTTGTGACAATTCAATGAGCTGCATATTTATGTATATCTCTGTATGTATCTTATATCTCAGCAAAAGGCTGATGTTAAAAATTTAAAAAAGAAAAATTGTTCCCAAACCTGGCACTGAACACACCATAGATGATGAAGGAAAACAGCCACGAGAAAAAGAAAATGTCCTTAACTCCTAACTCATCCAAGCTCATGACTTCTGCACCAAAGCAACTACATGTTTTTGGTTCTGTGCAACTGAAAACAGAGGCTATCTGCTCTAAAAACTAAAGCTTGATGTGTATGGCTTCTGAAAGTTATTTACCTGCCTTACCTTTCAGCTTCCTTTGTTTCAGAAGATGTTATAGTTACTGTGCTTTGTCTGGGGACTACAGAAGGATCAAATATAATATTTTAAAACAACAAAATATTGTTTTGGCATTTCACCCTTTTATTAAGCTAATGGTCAAAATCTTATTTCCGTTTTATTTGTAATCTTGTCTCAGCCCATCTTAATTACCAGTAGTTTGACTTTAATTTCAGTGAAGAGCAGTTTCTAAAAGTAGCTTTAAGTTCTGTTTTTGTGGTTTTATCTTTATTGAATTATTCTACCAGGATATTACAAGGAACAGATTCAAGGAGGTCAAACGTGTCATGCCTAAAAAAATACAGAACAAGGCAAAAAGATTCTTAGAACACAGTAACTTCCAGATCCAGTTTCTTTTCCTTACATAATTTATTTTTCTTTTTTTCCGCAGCCATATTGAAGTATGTGACATACCTTATTGAGGTATGTGACATATAAAATTTAAGGTGTACAATACCATGATTTGATATATGTATATATTTCAAAATAATTACCACAATAGGGTTAGTTAACACTTCCATCACCTCACATAATTACTTTTTGTATGCGTGTGGTGAGAACATTATTTTTAAGTTAAGCCTAGGTAAAAGTATTTTCCTAACACCCTCAAAGTGTTCCTTTGACCAAATCTTTTACAGTTATCAGTTTAGATACTTACTCAGTAAGTTCTTTGTTTTCTAACCACAGGCAAAGTCACATCCATCCTAGCTGCCATGGGGTCAGACTAGATTTCCAGAAACCAGACTCACCCTTGGGATGTTGTCACAGATGGATACGTCATTACCGTTGCCAGAAAGGGCCTTAAAGGAAACATTAAAAGAAATATGCACTAAATCCTTGGCAAAAGCAACAGAAGCCACACTTTTATTAACATGGTACTTCAGGTAAGTTTAACACTTAGTCTTTTCAAAGCACTTTCATTAACGTGGGGAACAATCAAAAGGGGAAGAAGGTTTCAAAGAGTTTTGATGTGGGCTTTTGCGGAGGGACTAGACTGAAGTGAACTGACTGTTCCATCAGCTGGAGAGTGTTACAAGGGTGAAGTGTGCTCCCATTACGCAGGGTTGCAGCCTCAAATCCTTAACTCTCCATGCCCAACCTCTAAATTTCACAGTCCTTCTCAACACCCATTAAGCTTCCTACTCATAGACATATATAGTGCCCCAATCTACAGCAAACGTTCTTGTAGTCACTGATATCCCTGTATGTCCAAACATGACCATCAAAGACTGCTAGTCAGTGACTACAAGGCTCACTGATACGTTCTGATTGCCCAACAGTGAATTACACAGATCCCGAATCATGAGCCCATACTGATCTCCAATGCTATCCCAATGAGTGACTATCCATTGCTGACTCCCACAGTCCCACCTCCCCCCCAATTATTGACAGTCCCAATCACTGACCCCCACTGATCCCTGTGTTCTCCATTCCCTGATCTACCAAAGTCCAATCCCTAATACCCTCAGATTGCTCCTCCCACCCATGATCTAAAGGAAGTCTCAATCACTGACGGCCTAAAGCATTTCTCTAAACACTGGTCCCCATTAACCCCTCCCATCACTTAACCTCAAAGTTTCCACAATCATCACTTCCAGGTACCCAAACAGAACTTAGAACCTCCAATCACCGACCCTCTCAGGCTTCGAACATTGAGCTCTAATGCTGTTCAAATCAGTGTTTTTGAAGCACCCCACTTGGCAGCAGACCCCTGAAGACCACTGTAAACTGATCACCACTCACTCTGCCAATCAAGAAATCGAGAACCCTCATTTATTGATTCCCAAATACTCCCAGTCCATCTTCACAGACACTGCCACCGACTCCCACGAACCTCCACCAGCCACCACAGACCCCCACGAGGCTCCCACGTCCAATCACTTAACCCCTTCAGTACCCTCGTCTCTGACCCTTACGGGCACCCATGACTGACCCAGTCGGGCCACCGTAGTCGTCCGATCACTATCCTACAGAGGTCTTTAATCTTGACTGTTCCTCACACTGACCTTTCCCATTTTTCCTGGATCCGCGCCCATGACCCGAAATTGATCGCCGGACCACGGCGCCTCGCCGCAGTATAATCGCTTCCCATCCCAACTGGCCAGTGCGCAGACTCAGTCGCGACTTTGAGGCTGTCGGCCGCCACCTGGCAACCTTCCAACGCACAGGATTCTGGGTTTCTGAACTTTAACGGGAGGTATGATGGCCGCGCCCTCTCGACATCTTGTTGGGGGAGGCCATGTTTAAGTCTGAGCCGTACAGCGGTGATTAGGCCCTTTGTTAGGCCAGAGGGTTAAGCTGTTTTAGGGCTGGGAGAAACAAGTGCTCCTGGGTCCGTAAACACTGACGTCCCTGCTCTTTTTAACTTCTCAGGAGCCCAAACCTCCCGTGATCAATACGGAGGCGCCCTGACCTCCCAACTGAGCTTTCTTTGTCTCCGGCAGCGCAGGCGCTGAGGTAAGATGGCCATGTACCTTTATGCCGTTTATCGCAGTGGGCGGGGCCACCTCATAGGAGGAGCTCCCCAGAGCAAGGTGAAACTTTTCCTGGGGCAGCTCTAGGAGTTGGGGGACCCCGGAGAGACGCTCTTCCCTTGGGGAGCATGAGGCCAGCAGAGGAAGGGGTGACAACTCCGGAGAGGGCGGAGCCATGGCTTCCTACGGCGAGTACGAAGTTATTAGCTGTTATTGAAAGAAAATTTTTGAAAGCAGGGACTTTATTTTTTTAAGCTTTCAACTATTTTTTTTTTTAAGATTTTATTTATTTGCGCGCGAGAGAATGAGAGACAGAGAGCATGAGAGGGAGGAGGGTCAGAGGGAGAAGCAGACTCCCTGCCGAGCAGGGAGCCCGATGCGGGACTCGATCCCGGGACTCCAGGATCATGACCTGAGCCGAAGGCAGTCGCTTAACCAACTGAGCCACCCAGGCGCCCACAACTTTTTTTTTTTTTTTTAAGATTTTATTTATTTATTTGACAGACAGTACGAAAGAGCACAAGCAGGGGGAACAGTAGAGGGAGAGGGAGAAGCAGGCTCCCTGCCAAGCAGGGAGCCCGATGGGGGGCTGGATCCCAGGACGCTGGGATCGTGACCTGGGCCCAAGGCATAAGTTTAACCATCTGAACCACCCAGGCGCCCCTCAACTATTTTAAATAAATGATAATTAAGAGTTTTAGGGTGCCTGGGTGGCTCAGTTGGTTAAGCGACTGCCTTCGGCTCGGGTCATGATCCTGGAGTCCCGGGATCGAGTCCCGCATCGGGCTCCCTGCTCGGCAGGGAGTCTGCTTCTCTCTCTGAACCTCCCTCCTCTCATGCTCTCTATCTCATTCTCTCTCTCAAATAAATAAATAAATAAATCTTTTTAAAAAAGAGTTTTAGCACTCTATGTTGTTGCTGCTGATTTGAGAGATTCAACATGAAATTTAAAAAATTAAGAGAGACATAATTCCCTGTCCTGTGTTAAGGCTGGGCCAGGTGTACAGGGACTTTATCTTAAGTAGTGTTACAAAATAAAATTCATCCGGGTAAATGTGAATATCTAGTTGGCTTTATTAAACAATTCATGGATCAGGCAGCATCCTATCTAGCAAGTCAAAAGGAATGCCTCCTCGGAGTTGTACAAAATGGAAGGTTTTTATAGGAAGAAGTGGGGGAGGAATGGCAAGAAAGTTATTAGCAAAAGAAAAGATTGTTCCAGGCAAGGTCACCTTCCCTTAGGTGGAAGAGCAGGTGTCTTATTCGGTGGATAACTGACCCATATGGGTCACCAATTTTTTTACTGAACACAAAGGGTTCCTGGCTTGGGGTGCATCAGCCAAAAGATTAGCCCATGTCTTTTGGTTTAAGCAAATGGTTTTTACTACTTGCAGCTAGTAAGGAAATAGTCCACAAAGTTCTGTCTCTAATACAAATTTCAGGACCAACTCATACTGCCAGCTGGCACCTTTTGGTGGGTTTATTCTTGCAATTAGGAAGTGGTCAGAGGAACTTAGTAAAACCTTTGTAATCATTTAAGCATGACTTAACAGAGGTTTGCTTAACTCTGCAGTTTCCCAGGAACATTTATGATTTTCTTTGTTCCCAGACATCTGCTCAGTTGAGTGACTTTGGTGGGCTTCCAGGAACAGGGCAATTCTCAAGGACTCCTGAAGCTGAACAACAAACATGCTGGAAGAAACAAGATAGTTTATTTGTTTTAATTTCTCACTGTGGTCCCTGATGACCTAGTCCCTAATTAACATAATCTCATTTTGGGGGGGATGGAGAAGGCCCCAAGTAACAATTTGCCTCATTGGTGCTAATCATAAAATTCCTGACTGACTGGTTAAGACTTATATATATATATATATATATATATATTTTTTTTTTTTTAGATTAAAAAAAATTTAATTATTTGAGAGAGAGAGTACAAGCAGGGGCAGTAGCAGAGAGAGAGGGAGAAGCAGGCTCCCTGCTGAGAGGGGAGCCTGATGTGGGGCTTGATCCCAGGATCCTGGGATCACCACCTGAGCTGAAGGCAGATGCTTAACCTACTGAGCCGCTCAGGCACCCCAAGACTTACATTTCTAGGGGAGGTTGAAACTACAGTTAGGTTAGGTATTATTAAGCCCTGGTTTGGTGGCTTGGTTAAGTGACACCATTTTAGCCTTGTGGTTTTCTTTCTAAGAGTGGCTTGCCCCAGATGCTGACTGATGTAGGAAAGATGCTAGGGTTCGAAGCCAACAGCCAAGAAAGAATTCTTAGACGTCTTTTGATGCAAAAAGGTGATTTTGTTAAAGAAAAGGGACAGGACCCGTGGGCAGAAAGAGCGGCACTAGGGTCATGAGGAGTGGCCCATTATATACTTTCAAGTTGGGAGGGTGTTAGGGATAGCGTTAAGTCTCTAAGAAATTTTGGAAGCAAGGTCTCCAGGACCTTGAGGGGGCTAGCTATTGTTGGGAAAGGGTCATTTATTATTGTCTAATAAAACCTGAGTCATGAGACCCTTCAGGTGTATATCAGTAGGTCATATGTTCGGGGATGATTGCCCACATATATCTTGGGGGTGGGGGTGGTAGAGATAAAGGAAGTTTCCAAAGGAATTTTTTATACGTTAAAGTAGACTTACAGGGTCCTGGGGGTTGGGCTAAGATTGCCTTTTCCCCTTAGCAAAGTGTCAACATCGAGGCAGCTGAGTTCCTAGAGGAAGGTCACTCTGCCTGTTTCAAGGACTTGTGAATGGCCTGTAAGTAGTGAGGAAATTTAATAATTTTTCTTTTGCCTTTGTTTCCCACATCACTGACCTGAGACAAGGATGTGAGTGTGGGCAATTTATTGGGCAGGTGGAAGATAGGCAAGTGACAATGGAGGAATGGAACCCAATACAGAGTGTATCAATGAGGAGGTTGTCACTGTGAGCCATGGGGGCTCAGTCCTGTGGGGAACTCTGGAAGATAGTGTAGATACAAATTGTCCTATTCAAGGGCTGCTGAAGCTGAGATATTTGTACATCGTCTCTCGTTCCTCACTGTTGGGTGCTATGGCAAGGACATTAACGCACTTCTAGCCTGCCTCATGGGCAAGGTCTCAGGCAGAGTCTTAGGAACTGTAGGCAGAGTTTCTGTTAGGCACCACTTATTTGTGTTCTGTACTTTGCCTCTGAATAAGCCAAAGAAGCCATGTTCCCACTTCAAGGGGTAAGCAAGAAAGTTAATCATTCTCTGAGTTTTGTCCTAGGCCCCAAACACCTGATAACATCCAAGGAGAGTCAGATCCCAAATATGTTCCAGGACATAGCGTCAAACAAACCTTGGCTGCTGCTGGCATCAACACCCCCTATCTCTGGCGATTTACAGAATAACACCTGGTGTTCATCTGACACTTGCCTTTGATTGGACCCTACCCTGGATCCCTGAAGGAACAGGTACCCTAAACCCCTTTCCAATATAAACCCTTAACCCTAAGTGATGACGAGACTCATTCTCGTTTCCTTTCCGAGTCTCCCAGACACTCCATCTGCTATTCTGTGTTTGTCACTCACACTACTCAGTAAACTCTGTTTTCACTTTCTCCAGCTCTCATTTGATAACTATCCTGCACGAAGGCAAGGACCCTCCTGGCTGGTCCTGTGGGACCCTCCTCTGGGTCCTCAGACCCAGCCTGCCTGCATCATACTGACAACATTCATTTCATACCACCTAAAGCAGTGCTCTGCACATCATAGGCATTGGAACATCTCTAGGAATGGTTACCTTGTCTTATGAAGATTGCTTTTTAAAAAAACATAATTCCAATTGGTTATCATACTAACTGATATAACAGCTGACCTCCAAAATGGCTACCAATGATTCCTACCTCCTGGTATTAACACCCTTGTGTAGTCCCTTACACACTGGACCCGGGCTGGTCTGTGAGCCTGATAAAGTAGAAGTGATGGTACATCACTGCTAAGATTAAGTTATAAATGATACTCAGTTTCTGTCTTCAAGGTGCGCTCTCTCTCTCTCTCAAATAATTTACTCTTGGGGAAGTTAGTTGCCGTGTCAAGAGGATGCTGAGACAGCCTGTGTAGAGGCCCATGCAGCAAGGAACTAAGATCTGCCAAGAGCCAGGGAGGAACTGATGCCTTCCCCTATCCAAGTGGGTCATCTTAGAAGCAGATCCTGCAGCCCTGGTCAGACCTTGAGATGACTGTAACCCTTGCCAGTAGATTAAACTGCAACTGCATCAGAGACTCAGAACTCCAGCCACCAGTTCCCAGATCCTTGACTTTTCAGGAATTGTGTGAGATACTAAATGTTTGTTTTAAGCTGTTGAGTTTGGGAGTAATTTGCTATGCAGCAATAGGTAACATGCTGTGCTAAAAATGCTGTAACTGATGTCTTTGGATTTCTTTTTTATTTTTAACGATTTATTTATTTATTTTTGAGAGAGAGAGAGAGGGGTAGGGAGAGGGGCAGAGGGAGAGGGAGAGAGAATCCCAAACAGGCTCCACACTGAGCGCAGAGTCCAACGCAGGGCTCGATCTCACAACCCCGAGATCATGACCTGAGCCTAAATCAAGAGTTAGATGCTCAACCAACTGAGCCACCCAGGCGCCCCTGATGTCTTTAGATTTCTTAAAGAAGCTCTTAAACTTATGAGATTGTTCTTTCAAATCAGAGAGGGTCATTAGCATTATCCTCTTGTCCTGCATGATGAAGCAATTATGGCTCCGCTAGAGCCAACTCAGTGGAAAAAAGAATCTTGGAGTAAGATTGCAAAATTAGACACAAAACTATTTAATGTCCTACAGGGCAATCAAACCAAACCTTTAAGGTTATCTTTTCTGCAGGGAATCAAGTTGCATCTCTAATAGACAAATATATGAAATACATCAGTTGTCTGCAAGTTAGTATCTATCTCTACAATCCAGATCCTAATTAGTAGTAAAAAGCCAATCAAATGTGCATTCCACTAGAGTAGAGGGATCTCAAACTGGTGCAGTTCTAATCCCCAGGGGACAGTTGGCAATGTCTGGAGACAATGATCCTTGTGGGTGGGGGTTGGGAGAGAATGGGCAGAATGCCACTGGCACATGGTAGGTAGAAGCCAGGGATGCTTCCAGCCATTCTGTAGTACAGAGGACAATCTTCCACAACAAAGAATTATCTGGCCCAAAATATGAATGGTGCTGAGTTTAGAAAACTCTTCTCGAGCTTGGCTTATTAGACCTTGGGTGGACATTTAGACTATGCTCTAGTATGACTTTGAAGAGTCACACAGGATGACACAGTAATGTTTCCTTATTTCCTAGTTTTTTATAACTTTTCTTAAGGCAAACTTGGCAAAATATTGATAACTTAAATCTGGATAATGAATACATGGTGAGTAGTTAATCTTTTGCCTCTATTTTTGTGAATGTTTGGATTGTTTCTATATTAAAAGGTAAAAAGAAAAAACTGTAAA